CTCGTGTCAGTTTCGTTTGAGCCGTGGTCTGCTACAGCTGGCAGAACACGTTAATAGGGAACTACATCCGTTGATTCGGCTTTGCTAGGAGTAATGTTAGGATTCATGCGAAAAAGGTCGAAGAATAGGGCCTCAGTCGTTGAGGGGGGGAGGGGGCAACACAATTTGCTGGGGAAATCGGGTAACTAAGTAGTTGAAATTTACCGTATTTGAATATGTGTGTCATCCACGCACTGAGGCTGAAAAAAAAAAAGAAAAAGATGAGGAAAATGAGCGAAAATGAAGCCTGAAGAATTGACAAGTGCACGCATTGTCATCGATTTTCCCCATTTATGAAATGCCCTGAAAATCACCGTCCGGAAATAAGCAAGCAAGAACCTGTTCATCTGAATTTAGGTATTTTGGTATTAGAGGCTTTTTTCTGGGACTACTTCTGTAGCAGCTTTTACGATATTTGTTGTTGTGACTTCAGGTGGACGAGGAATATATCCAGGATAAATTCAATTTAACTGGCCTGAACGAGCAAGTCCCGCATTATCGTCAGGCTTTGGATATGATTCTGGACCTGGAGCCCGGTTTGTCGTACAGCTTTTTCAACACGCTCGCTTAATTTCTCTTTACCTGGTCACCATGTTTTTCTTGTCCGGTTGGTATACTGCTACACACAGAATACGACCCTCTTCACCTCCCTTCTTCCTTTTTGTGGTTTCTCACTTCCACTGTAATCTACTGTCCTCTGTGGGGAAGTCATAATTAGCGGACATCACAGGAATGCTTGATTCGTCTTCAGGAGACTGTGGCGTTGTAGAAAGAATACATCCTTTCGGCAAAATGATCTTCAGCTAATCGTCCGTCGCTGTAATAGTATTTAAAAGACGCACAGGAATATTGGGGTCATGGTCTTTTTTTTTGTCTTGTTACTATATTTTCCGTCATCACACTTGTAATTAGGCTATCAGTGATTCGTTTCGATGGAATTTGTTTGTTTACTTCGGTCAGCCACTTTTTTCCTTTTTGCCTCCGGGCACTCGGCTATATATGCTTGGTGTGCACAGAAATAGCGACGCATACCAGGGCAGCCGGTGCGATCATGCATTTTGTACAGTTCCGTCCAGCGAACGTTTGCCTGCTAAGAATTTTTGTTGCGTTGCACTTTGGTCCGTGCAAAAATAGTTGAAATGTTGTCTGGTTCCTAAGTTGCAGAATTTCTTACTAAAAATTTCACGCACCGGTCCAGGAGAGTTGGATTTGAAATTTCGAAATGTGGATATCCTTTTATAAATTAGGGTACTATCCGCTCTCGATGGGTAGATAGCCTCCTGATTTTCCGGCTTTTGAGTGATTTTTGCGATAAAACTTTCACGTGGTTGTTCGTGAGACCTCAACATACTTAGGAACTGAATTCGAGTTTGTGAGGCCTCTACTTTTGTGGCTTTTACGGAGCCATACGTGGTACCATGGAGCGCGTGAAGCTGAATCCAAATTTTGAGGGGTCATACGTTGGGGGGAGGGGGGTGGGGATATCACCGTGGGATTTCGGATTCCCGTCTTCCGTGGTTCCTGAGATGATTTCCTCAGTTGAAATTATACGGGACCGTAGGTGATACCCAAAAGCGCGAGAATGCTGAATTTGAATTTGAGAAGTCGTACGTGGGCAGGGGATGATCCCTTAAATTTCATCTTCCTAGATTCCGTGGTTCCCGAGGAAAAATTTTTCTGCACAAATTTTCACGAGGCTGTACTTGTTGCATGCAAGCACAGGAAGGCTGAGTTCAAATTTTCTGAGTCGCATGTGGGCAAGGAACATGCCCATAAAATTTGAGCGTCCTGACTTTCGTAGTTCCCAAGATAACAGTTTTCCCCGCCAAAAATTTTACAGGAACCACACGTGTTACCCGCGGGCACGAGAAGACTGAATTTTAATTTGCGGAGTCACTTGTGGACGGGGAGCATATCCCTGAATTTTTAGTTTCCTAGCTTTTGTGATTCTCTAGTTGAAAGTTGCGGGTACACACACACACACACACACACACACACACACACACACACATAAGTACATACACACAACTCCGTGACAATGCGCGTTTTTTGCAGCTATTGCACAGCACAAAGTGCATAAAAGTGTGTCGTTTGGTAGCTTAGCATTGAACTGGTAGGATTTGGTCACGTTACAAATTTGAAACCGGTGCAATAATACCGATGTGTTTGTTCAAGCGTCTGTTCCCACTCTCATACCCGGCATTTTCTGCAGTAGTGTTATGCAGCATGCATTTTGACTTAGGAGTTAGCGTGTCTAAAAGTAATGTGATGTAATGATAGTGGAACAAATGATTATAGATGATGATTTCGAGGACAATCCAAATCAGTCAGATTTGGTGGAGCAGGCCGCAGAAATGCTGT